AGCCACTACCTCAAGACCTCAAGTGCTAAGCTACTCTTATCCTATGCCTTTCCTTGCTCTTACTGTCTCTACTATAAGCCGCTCTCGCACAACTCTAATTGCCCCACGGGGATAAATAAAGTTTTCTGAATCTGAATCTAACAAATGTAGAACACAGCACATGCAGCGGACAAATCGCAAAATACAAACACTACCCGTCTCACTCTCACAATTTTCCACATGAGCACTTGGAAAGTGTTTTACTATGTTTGTACTTCGACACTGTGCATACGTAGATGGCATCAAACAACTGGTAATTTAGTTAGGGCATTTTAAAACATAAAAAAAGTGTTAAAAACCATATGTATGGAAACTTTTGGCCCACCCTGTATTATGAGTGAGGTTAACTTCCACTGATGCCCTTATGGCAGTTAATTAAGTAAAAATTTGACTTAAAACCTTACCTGTGCTGCCTTTATGATTATTTCACTGGAACAAATAACTTAAAACTCAGGGTAAGCAAGAATGTGATGAGATAAGTTGACAAGCATCACAGAGAAGATGCTGCTCAACTTCAAGAGTTCCACTCAAAGTATTTTGTCCCATACATTTGGAAACTACTCGTTATTATCCTTGCTCAAACATAAACTAAATATTGACATTTTATGATGGTGTCACAGAACACCATAATAAAGAAGACCCAGTCTGAAACAAAACATTTTCGTGTGTCGTTTGTGTTTCAATACCTGGTAGTTCTGCAACAGGATCAGACTGAGGTAGAACTCTGAGAAGGCCAGCTGAAGGTCTTTTATATTCCTGTGTTTGCATCTCTCTTGCTGTGATAGGGTAAAGACTGTTTTCCTCCTTCGTAGACCCCGCCCATTCGTTACAATCTCCCTCTGGGCATCCAATGATGACTGCAATTCATTTTGTAGAGTCGCAAATCTCCGCTGAGCCTCAGCCAGCTTTTCTGGAAGGCAGAGGAAAATAAAACAGAGGGATAAAAGTTTATAGAATGAAATGCCCTGTGGAACAGTTATGTGGAAAACTTGTCAGACCAGTATTATGCACAATTTATGTCAATATATACATAATTATATTACCTGAATAAAATGTGTTAATCTTGGCCAGCTCTTTTTCACATGTCTGGAAGAACTTCTCTTCAAACTTTGCATAATACCTTTTAACGGTGTCCTCATCTGTCACTACATGAAGAGAAATGAAACATTCGTCAGCACTCAAGATAAGACAAAGGCATTAATAAACGTTTTTTCCGGTCCAAAAGTAAATTTTCAGTTTGAACCATTGTCGATAAGACCACCTCAGGTATGTATGAACAATGAAATGCAGTTAAATATTGGATTACAGCATACTATGGTAACTACAAATGCAATCCAATTAAGTTGGGATGTTGTTCTAAACATAAATTCACAATACAATGACGACTATCTTGTTAAACTGATATTTAATTGAATAGACTACAAAGACAATATAATGTTCTAACTGATAAACATTATTTTTCACAGTAATCATTTTTTATTATTATGATATGATAATCAATTTTATGGCTGCAACGGGTTCCAAAAAAGCATGGACAGGGTCATGTTCACGTCACTCTTTCTTTTAACAACATTCAATAAACCTTCGGGAGCTGAGGACTAACTGCTGAAGCTTTGTAGATGGAATTCTTTCCCATTCTTGCTTGATGTACAGCTTCAGCTGTTCAACAGTCCAGGGTCTCTGCTGTTCTATTTTATGCTTCGTAATGCACCACACATTTTCAATGAACACAGGTACAGACCGCATGAAGGCCAGTCTTGTGCCTGCACTCTTACTACAAAGCCACGCTCTTGTAACACATGCAGAATGTGGTCTGGCGTTGTTCTTGCTGAAATAAGCAGGGCGTCCGTGAAATAGACGTTGCTTGATAGCAGCATATGTTGCTCCAAAACCTGCATGTACCTTTCAGCATTATTGGTGCCTTCACAGATGTGCAAGTTACCAATGCCACTGGGAAATAACACAGACCAATATCATCACCGATGCTGGATTTTCAATTTTGAATCCAGAACTGTCCAATGGTTCTTTTCCGCTTTGCCTTGGAGGACAGGCCGTCCACAAGTTCCCAAAACAATTTGAAATGTGTGTGGCGGCCCGGTGGTCCAGTGGTTAGCGCGTTGACCTCATAGTGCGGAGGTGCAGGGTTCAATCCTAGCGCCGGCCTTCCTGTGTGGAGTTTGCAAATTCTCCCCGGGCCTGCGTGGATTTTCTCCAGGTACTACGGTTTCCTCCCCACATTCCAAAAATATGCATGGAGGGTTAATGGAACACTCTAAATCCATCTTATCCAAAGTCCAGCCTGGGGGCCAAATACGGCCCGTTGTCGAATTTCATCCGGCCCTCGGCCTCTGTCAAAATCAGTGATGTCTGGCCCTCATCCGGCCCTCGGCCTCTGTCATAAAATCAGTGATGTCTGGCCTGCGCAGGTTGTGCGCAATGCGCACGCACGCATCTTAGAGCGAAAACACTAACTGCTATTTGGCCACTGCAGGGCAGCAGCACTCTACGCGACATCACCCCATGTAACACTTTACTCCCCCAAAGTTGACTGCGAGGGATGACGCTTCAAGGATGGATGGAAATTGGACTACTCATTCACTGAAATACGCAACAACTGCCTCATTTGCAAAGCGACAGTGGCTGTTTTTAAAGAGTATAATGTCCAACTATATAACCAAACAAGACACGTACTGAACGCACTGAGAAATTGAAGCAGCTTGAAGCTAGTTTAATCTCACAGCAGCAGTATTTCGCAAGAGCCCAAGAGTCAAATGAGAACGCCACAGTGGCGAGTTACGAGGTAGCAGCGCTGATCGCAAAGCATTCCAAACCTTTCAACGAAGGTGAATTTATCAAAGACTGCGTGATGACTATGGTGAAGAAAATCTGTCCTGGGAAGCAGCAAGAGTTTGCCAAAGTACGCAGGACTGAAGAAGTAGCATCGGCCATCAAAAGACAATTGAGAGACGGAGGAAAGGAGTTTGACTTTTTTTTTATTTATTTATTTTGTTTTTTTTGCTGGCTTGCGGCGAAAGCACAAACATCTTGGACACAGCACATTTACTTTTTTTTTTGAGTGGAGTGCACATTGAAATGAACATTACCGAAGAACTACTTGACGTCCAGAGCCTGAAAACCCAAACAAGAGGAACAGGAATATTCAGTTGCATGTGATATGCATGTTTCAAATGAACCAAAAGACATGCTTAAGATTGTTGAAATTAAAATAAAAAGGCAAATGTGAAACACAGAATGGCTGACTAAAATTTGTTTAAATATATTGTTCAATGTAAAGAACGTCAGCCAAGGTCCCAACACACACACACATTTTATACTACATAAAATCTGGCCACATTGGCAAAATGTTTGGACACCCCTGCTCTAAATTGTCCCTAGGTGTGAGTGTGACCACAAATGGTTGTTCATTTATGTGTACCCTGCGATTGGCTGGCAACGGGTTCAGGGTGTCCCCCGCCTACTGCCCGAAGACGGCTGGGATAGGCTCCAACACCCCCCGCGACCCTTGTGAGGATAAATCGGATCGGAAAATGGATGGATGGAATTTTGAAATGTAGACTCGTCAGACCACAGAACACTTTTCCACTTTCCATCAATCCATGAGCTCATGGGCAGAGAAGCTGCTGGAGTTTTCGGTTTTTGTTTAATGGCTTTTGCTTTGCAAAGTAGTTTTAAGTTGCACTTATGGATGTAGCACCAAACACAATTTACTGATACTGGTTTTCTGAGGTGTTCCTGAGCCCATGTGGTGATTACCTTTCCTCATTGATGTTAGTTTTTGATGCAGTTTCACCTGAGAGATCGAAGGTCACGGCATTCAATGTTGCTTTTTGCACTTGCTGCTTACATGCAATGATTCATCCAGATTCCCTGAACCTTTTGATAATATTATGGATCGTAGATGCTGAGATTCTTAAATTTCTTAAAATGTATTCCTGAACGGCAATTCAGGGAAGCTTCTTTTATACCCAATCATGGCACCCACCTGTTCCCAGTTAGCTTGTTGACTTGTGGAATGTCCCAAACCGAATGCACTTTATGAATTCTTTTTGCGGCCAGCCCTGCTGATTTGCCAGTGGAGCGCGACAAGCGGGGAAAATTTTTGGAGAGTAATTCAAAATCCATGAAATGCTCTATCAATGAGGAACCATTCATTGCGACATGGCTATTACAGTGTTTTATACAACATATTAAAAATGTGTTAAAACGGTGTGCCATACACTTAAATTTAGTCAAAGTAACCTATAAAGCCTGCGCATTATAATTACTGGCACCAAAAAAAAAAAGTATTATTGTGCTGCATATGTGAGAGTGACAGTGCGAGAGTGAGAAAGAAAATACCTTCAATGGATGGGGCCTGGTCCTGAGCCGCATACAACATCTCTTTGAAAGCCTGAAGACACAGAATACATTATAAATACAGTATTAAGGTTTAAGAGGTTATTTCAGGGACACAGTACCTTTACTTATATTTTTTAAGGCATGGTAAGTTTCTTTATATTTCATGTAGAAGACAACTCAAAATACATAAAACATTAAAAGCATGACAGAAAGAGAAACAATATATTAAGACATTGCAAAAATCATAGTAAAATCAGCCAAAATAATTACTGTAGATTAAATTATTGAAACCAAGCATCAGTCAAGATAAATTCAAGGATAGCGTCCAAATGGGGACTTAAACAAGAAAATAAGTGACAGAGTTAACGTCAAAGCTGCAGTAAAAAATATTTTCAGTTCTGATATCTGATGTGCACTGAATTTGGGTTTCAAGGCAAATATTCCTGACTTTCCCAAGAAAAAGCCTGGGCCCAACGTGTGTGTCAATTGACATCTATGTAGGTAAAAGACGAAGGAGGTTTTCCAGAGTCGTTCCTATTCGATCAAATAACAGCGCAGCAGTTCTTATCGAGTCCATCATTCCAAACCTCAGTTTCATAACGAAGGAGTTGTTCAGTAACAACCTCCAATGCAAGAAAATATCTTATGGGAAGTTTGACTCCCATAGTTTGAGTATGTTGCTCTTCAGTCCTAATTTTCCATTCCAGCAACATGTGTAATCATTTACAGACCTCTGAGATACAACAAAGTCATTTTTTAAATGACTTTGCCAAGTTATTGTCTTTTGTGTGCATTTAAATATGTTGTTTGAATGGGTGATTTTAACTACCATGTCGACAATCTGAAAGATGGAAATGCCTAATAGTTCTTAAACCACCTGGACAATTTGGGGATATGTCAATATATGACAGATTTAATGCAAAACAAGTGGCACATATTGGCTCAAATTAGCTCCATAGGTTTTAAAATTCTAGATGTTGTGGTGACTGATATTGCAATATCTGACCGCTAGTTTTATTTTTTGAAAAACACCCATTCTAATTTGAACAAAAGTGGAGCAGAGGAAATCAGAAAGCATTATACTGATGAAAGCACCTGTTCACTCACACTATTCCAGTGGTTCTTAACCTGAGTTCGATCGAACCCTATGGGTTCGGTGAATCGGTCTCAGGAGTTCGACGGAGACTCTGCCATGGAGGGTAAGACACACCCGAGTCAACATGTCAATTAATTATGACACGCCCGCTTGGCCATCCCTGGCTGCAGATTATCACATAACATTGCTTGTCCAATCAGTGCTGCGGGAAATTTAGTTTGCTCAGTAGTCAGCATGTGACTGTCGTGATAGTATGTTGTACAATAAATTTTTGTTTTTTAAAAAGTATACTTATGTCTTGAAATTTTATTTACTTTTTTCTGTTTAAAAAAAAAATTTTTTTTTATGTCTTGATTTTGAAAAATATATATATAGATTTATTTTTCACTAATAAAGGGTTCGGTGAATGCAAATTAACTGATTGGGTTCGGTACCTCTAAGATGGTTAAGAACCACTGCACTATTCACTCATGATTTTGCAGCATCATCAAGCCTGCACTCAGCTTCTATTCATGACCTTGGAAATGTTTCACCTGTTATGAAGTTTTGACTGGAATGGATTCCACAGCCTCAATTGAGACCAAAGTTTTGTCACTCAGGAAAAAGTCACATGGAGAAATGCTGCGCTGGTTAAAGCTAAAAAAAGGGAGAATGCTAGACAAACCAAAATGCAGTTTCATTATGACATACAGTATATAAAGTCTTCACATCTCCAACCAGGAATTGAAAAATGCAAGACAATCATTCATCTTATCAAGAAAAACAGTAATAATGCCCGTACACTGTTTGAGAGAGACTGACAAACCCCACAGCATCAGTCCCTTCTGAACTGCTGTCAAAAAATAAATAAATAAAAATCATGCAAGGACTTTGCAGCCTCTGTCACAGATAAAATGCAGATATTTTTTTGACAATGTCACTTTTGCCATCTTGGTTTCCATCTTCATCTTGAACATTTTAAACTACACAACTTTGAAAGGAATTGTTTCCGAGTTACGATTCACAACCTGCTGTCCTGATATGCTGACTTCACAATTTTTCCAAAACTTTTTGATTGCACAGCACCACATGTATTCACTCACAGTGAATAATTCTTTTCAATCAGTGCAGTTTCCCCTGGCCTTAAAAACTGCAGTAATAAAAATACAAACACAGGTGGTTGAAGAGTTGGAAAAAGAGGAGGTTGTTGGCAAGATGTATGGTGGACTGTACATGTCCGACCAAGATGCTCAGGATGTGTAAAATGTTGTGCCAAAACGGCCAGACATGGAGTGGAGACGAGACACATCGAGATCGGAAAAATGGTAAATTTTATAGCCTGATGTTATTAGCCCAGCGTTACTGTTTGAAATTTGATGCTGTGCCGTGCTGTGAATTGCGCAGGATGGGAATTATCTACTTGGCCCATGTATTCCTGTTCGCACTGAGAGCACACGTCGTAGTGGACTGGTGTCCAACATTGTTATTGCTAAGGTAGTTCTGTTGCGTTGTAGGCTACTTCGCACATTATATCGGCAGGCCATCTGCAGCATTGTTAGTTGCAAACCATTCCACAGGATTCCATCCATGCACTCATATATTTTGAACGTTTTTTTGTACAGGATTCCATCAATGTACACTTATATTTTTAATTGAATGTTTTCATGAACAACAGCAAGAGTTATTGATTGATCAATCAATAACACCTACCTTTATGCAAACCTTTTATTATAAGCAAAAGGGTGGAGAAAACGGAGGTCTTCAGAGTGTTTGTAACAAAGAACACTCGTCGACACAAGCATGAAATTCATTTGCTTTGCAAGAACATTTACGTGCTCGATTCTTTTGGCCACACAAACAATTGTTTACATTGTTCAGCGCGTTGCTGTGGTTCAGTATAATCAGGGCCGTCTTATATTCGGGCCAATACAGTATTACTCAAAAGGACCTTTCACCTTTGTTTTTGTTTGAAACACTTGTAGCGACGCTACTCGAGTGAAGCGCGACTCAGCAGTTGATAGTCCGCTGCTCTCGGCTGTGCGTGTGTCAGCGTGGACATGTACGCACGTGCACGTCGTTTGGCTTCAACCAATCAGTGCTAACGCAACGGACGTTACACATCAAAGAGCTTTGATCTATGACAACAACTAAGCTAGTCTAGCCATGACAACAGATAAGTGAGTTTGTTGAGGCGACACACGCTCGAGGTCGGATGGACACGCTCTCCAGATATCTGTATGTTTCCATGACAACAGATAAGTGAGTTTGTTGAGGCGACACGACGCTCGAGGTCGGATGGACACGCTCTCCAGAAATCTGTATGTTTCTTTTCTTTTCTCTTCTTTTCTTTTTCTGTCGAAATATATATTTTTCTACAAACAATCGCTGTCTTGTCCACGATGTCTTTTTTTCGTTCCACCGGGGTTTAGCCAATGTGTTTATAAAGAGACCACCAATGTCTTTACACTCACCAAAAATATTTGGCAGTGCAATGGCAACAGGAAATGGCGATTGAAAACATTTTCTACTTTCAAATAACAAGAAAATTTCCATAAAATTGTGTGTGTGTGTGTGGGGGGGGGGGGGCACCAGCTGTCTGTCATGAGATGTTGCGTATGCATGTCAACCAGGGCAGCCCAAGAACATCCAAAGCTCATCCAACCCTGGGGCCTTCCACCAAGGAGTGGTGAAAACAGAAACATTTTCACGTCACTCAAATCATGATTCGCGGTATGGCGAACGAGTAACATGCACCCTGTAAGAGTTGCACTGAGGCGACTGGTCATTTATTTGAACAAAGCTAAGCCACGCTTTCATTCATGACATATGCACACGCGCTTTTCTTTGTTGTTTCAAGCGATTTCTTTGCGGGGGGAACTCGGCAGTAGGGATGAGAGACACCGAGAAGTAAGGTTCGATCCAATCCCAAGCAATACTTGGCCAAATATCGCAATTACGATACGATATAGATATCGGAAGTAAGGCTGTGAACAAAACATTGTGCGCTGCCGCTGCGTTGTGAACGCAGCATGTACAAACATTACAACGTTATCAAGGCCTGAGATGAAAGCTGAGTTGTCATCACTGTATCAAAATATCCATCCAGCCAGCCAGACTCACACTTCGGTGGTGTAATTCCTCAGTGTGGTAAATATCAGGAATGCAGTTGTTCCTTGACTGTTGTTACTTTTTTGTTGTTGCTATTCAATAAGGTATGAACGTTGCTTTTCACCAATAAAATGTATAGCATTCTATGATAAACGGTGCTTGAAGTGGAAACAAAATTACCCTTATTCGACTGTTGCCAGGTAAATTCGGCAGTAAGTAACAGGGAATTTGTTAATATATTATAGATATCAACCTTATAAAAAATAAAAACTTGTTTTTCCTTCCTGCGATGGAAACGTCCGACTGCACTTGAATGCACCTCATGTCTTGTGCACATCCAGAGACGTTGATGTTTACACTCTGGCAACTTCGGAGACTTGTGCCGTGTCGTAAAATGACAACGTTATTAACGTGCAGGTTCTTGGCGCCTTAAATCAGCAATTGAATATGATTTCGAGATGGTATTGTATTGATGTTGATAGCAACCATGTACAAAGTGCCAGAGAGAAATATGACAAGAGAAGGTACAGTGAAACTCCTCTAGAACGAAACCTACATGGGCGAAAATACCCCCTAATGTGAAAAAATCTTCATGCATTAACACCATTCCCATTCTCCTGCCCCCCATACGACGAAAAAAAACTGTTGCGTTATACGAAATCATTTTCTCTGCTCCAGCCTCGCGAAGACATTCACTACAACGAAGTCTAATCCAACAGCGACCTCTACTGCTTCGTTCAGAAACGGCAACAGCAACCACCACACTGGTTTACATAGTGAATGATGTTTATTTCGGTCACAGCTGCGAGTTTCCTGAACGCAACATACACATAGCTGCTCTGCCATTGGCTTACCGAGCATCATCCTGG